CTGCCTCTGCCTCCCGAGTGCTGAGATTAAAGGCATGTGCCACCAATGCACAGCTGTTTTTGTTTGTTTGTTTTTAATCAGAGATAAACACTTGAATAGCAACAGCATTGTAAACCACATCATGGTTAATAAAGGACTCTTACATGAATTATCTGCTTTTGGCCTTTATAATTACCTATGAAGTGTTATACCTATTTCTGCTTCTGTATAAAGACACTGTGTCTTTGGTGGATTCAGGCATTTGAACACTTTGTCCCCAGCTGGTGGTTCTGTTTGGGGAAATGTGGGAGGTGTGGCCTTGTTGGAGAAAGAATGTCGCCAAGGTCAGGCTTTGAGAATGCATACTCCATTTCTCTCTGTCTTCTCTCTGATTTGGATTGGGTTCTGACCTCAGCTTTCTGCAGCTGCTGCTTGCTGCCATGTCTTCTCATAGCAACTCAACCATCAGGAACTCTAAGGTCAAGGAGACTCTTCTTTCGTTAGGTCACCATATTTTACCACAGCAACAGGTACAGAGTCTCAGTGGCAGCAGAATCTGGTCCACTTGTGGGTCCTTGCCTTACAGACCCACAATTCCATAGTGCTGGCTCAGCTCCACCTAGAACTCCTCCAGACAAGAGCTCAATACTTACTCATCATATGGAACCTGAAAACGTCCACAACTACCTCCTATCCATGTCACTTAGTGCTTCCCACACCCATGCTCTGATGGAGGGGAATGTTTGAGATGCTTGGGTGCCAGGAAGGCATGTGTATCAAAAGTCTATGCTTGTAAATAAACTTTGTTCTGGAGCAAGCACTTGATATTATCACAAGGAATTTCTGATGTGATGTCTTGGGAGCATGGAAGATTTCCCATAGATCCAAGCATTCTGGAACAGCAGGTATCTTTCATGTGAAAGTCACAAATGTGGTGTGTGTGTGTGTGTGTGTGTGTGTGTGTGTGTGTGTGTGTAAACACCACAAACTCAAGTCCAGAATGGATGATGGCAGAAACAAGTTAGAGCAACGGATAGTTAACACACATAGCCTTTGATGTCTGCTACAAAACTGAACATTCCTCACTTCTATAGGACTTTGTATTTAAATTTCTCCTACAGAGACTTTTGTTGTGGGACTATCACACTTACAGTAAATAAAGGACTTTACTAAAACTTCTCTCAACCAAAAAGTTAAAACAATAACATGTGCCCATATATAGATGCAGTGTATTTTTTTTCCTTTTTGCTGTAATATTCATTCATAGTTCTTCTCTCCTGTATAAGGAAGTAGAACACACCAGCCCTTGGCAAAACAAGAAAGTACATTTCCATGACTGGAAATACCCCTCATTCTTAGTCTTCGTCTCACAAGTGATTTCAGGTACAATGATTTTGAGTCATATAACGAACTCAGATTGTTCCTGGGACAAGCCTTCAGATTACACAAACAGAAAGAGCACATATCACCACTAGTTCCAGGAAACTATCTTAAACATGTCTCGGGCCCTCGTAGATTGTTTGTGATAAAGATTACATCATCGTGTTGAACATCCGGTGTATGAGATTCAGGCTGCAGGCGGGCTGACCCTCCTCTGCCTACGCCGAAGGGAGAGCACACCAGGCTTTACTCTTAGCCAGAGGGCTGTACAGCAGCTCTGCTTGGGAGGTCAGCTTGCTTTTAAAACTGTGCAGTTCACAGAAGACTGTGGAAAATGCTCAGTAAGTAATAGAGATGTCACCAATACTACTGAAGTAGAAGTCTAGGGTGTAATAAAAACCCTAATAAATAAAACTATGAAAATAGCCAAGTTTGCTTCATTAAAATCTAGTAGATCTTGAAGTGAAACATGCCTATATTCTTAACACGAGACGCATAGGATAATTCAAACTGCAGCCTAAAATAATAGTGTGATTAAAGAACACTACAACTAGAGCCTTGGATGCGTTAGAAGAAAAGGGTAGAGATACGGAGTCAAGAATAGAAGACACTGTAAGGGTCAAAGTAAGCAAAGGGCAAGGAGGGCAAACCTACTGCAGAGTAAACATTAAGACAGCAGTGAACTCAAAGGACCCATGAGTGTGTGTGCATGTGTGTATGTGCACATGTGTGTGAGTGTGTGCATGTGTGTATGTGCACATGTGTGTGTGTGAGTGTGTGATGAACTGACTCAACAGCAAACACAATTTATTAAAAGAATTCCTAGCAAAAGTTAACTTCATTAGTATCAGAAGGAAAGTTAATGTTTAAACAGTTTTCCCCACATCTGCTGTTTCCATAATGTCTGGGCAATTGTCATAAATCAGGAGTGAGGAAGGGCACAGTGCCAATCGTCAAAACAAATAGGCGATTCCGGAGCCCAGGTTTCCCATTCTTTTCTCCCTCACGATGAAGGCAGCATGTCCTGACTGAGGACTACCTAGGGAAGGCCACTGACAGGGTGGGGCTAATGGCAAAGGCCATGAGGAAATCTTGTTCCTCCGGTGTCTTGGGCCTTGGAAAGGGAAAATGAGCTCTCTCTGTTGAGTGAACGGAGGTGGAGGCATGAACACAGGAGCCATGACAGACTTGGCATGGAAAGGGCCCTTCTCTCTTGTTCATACATTCCTATTCTGCATATAAATCTTCATCCTAGACTGCTTGGCACTCCAGAGGGCAAGCCCCATGCCGTGTTTTCTGTACCCCAGTTGGGCACAGTATCCAGTCCACAGTGCCTTGGGTAATTTTGTCTGTGGCTTAGCCTGTTCTGTTTCTTTGCTTGGCAAGACCAAGACAGTGAAAGGTTTTGCACAGGCTTGCACACCAGCTTGGCTCTCATCATTTCTGCTTTGTACCTTCATAGGGTTCACTCCCTTAGACAGGCATGAAGTGTTCCTGCTCATCTGTGTGGTGCAGTATGTCTGTGCAGGCTGATGATTACATACTGGTTGAAGGGAAGGAAGGCTGTGATTCTAAACTGAAAGTTACACTTTACCAGAAAGTTCCATACTGGTACCCAAGGCACCAACCCTGCCAATTATAGAGTAGGAGCTTGTTTCCCAATAGTTGCCATCATTTATACAAGGAATGTTACAGGAAGGCTAGCTAAAGTAGGATTTAGAATTGTCAGATGTCTCTGGTCTTGATGTCACCTGATCAACACCGGAATTTCAACATAATCCACTGATACCCATGCCTTTTAACAACATCTTGAATTCTTACAAAGAAAGAGACGATGGGGCTGACTCTCATTTTCTCAGGGTTCTACCTGTTAAGGTCCCTATCATCTCTTTGTCGTTTTAGCCTTATTCGACCTGCCACATAGCTAGTGGTTGAGTTCCTTCCCAATCCATAAGGGAATTAACATTTCTAATAACATCTATTACAGATGGTGACTTTTTCTCTTAGACATGTTCTACCCTTGAAAAGCTGATTCTGAAAACAAAACAACCTCAAACTCAGTGCCAGATTGTTCTTAGCTAGAATGTGTCTTTGCAGTAGACCACTGGTATTCATAAGCAGCTCTTCTTCAGGCCACGTATCTTAAGGTGTTCTCAAACAGTTCACCTCTTAGGCATCTCTGTGGTGAACCATTTGGAAGTAGGCCTTTCATTCAGTCATTCAACAAATGGTTATTCTCTTAAAATGTTAAGATGTGTCTTAATTATGTGTTTGTATCTATGTGCAAATATGTGCATGTGAGTACAGGTGTCAAATATCCCTGGAATTGTAATTATAAGTGTGTGATAGTCATCCAACACGGATACTGGAAAGCACAGTTGGGCTTCTGCAACAGCAGTATGCCTCTTAACTTTGGAGTCATCTCTTCAGCCCTAGCAAATAGTTATGGATTTCTTGCTTAGGTGCAGATCCAATCTTGGGTTAGCAGCCTGAAGAACTTGTCCCTAAGGTCAAAACATGGCCTGCATCACCCTCTAGCTTACTTTCTCCTCTATGGTAATGAAAGGAAACACAATAATTGGTAGGACTGGAAGTTCATGTTACAGTTTAAAAGCATCCAGAGGGTGAAGATAGGGACCTAAAGCTCCAGGCTGAGTAAACAGAGATTAAGTCCTTGTTCCACAACACAGAGGTTTGGTTACGGGGACCTGTCCACAAATAGGCATAAAATTGCAGAAGGAAGAAACTTGCCTTCCTCAACATAACTTTCAGAGTCACCTTATTTCCTTGAGGTTTTTTTTTTTTCTGTTGCTTTCCCCATTAACTTAAATGAACAATGGGTGTGTATATATCCATTATATATTCATTACATGTATACATATACATATATAGGTATATATTTTCCTCATTTTCTCAAAGGTAGACATTTTTCGCCAGGTAGTAAAGCTCTGGTTTATAAATGAAATCCTTTACATTAAAAGTCTTGGGTAAGGTCTTGGCTACTTTTATATCAGCTTGACACAAGCTAGAGTTATCTGAAAGGAGAGACCCTTAAATGAGAAAATGCCTCTGGGAGTTCTGGCTGTAGGGCATTGTATTAATTAGCTATTGATGGGGGAGGACCCAGCCCATTGTGGATGGTGCCACCCCTAGACTTGTGGTCCTGGGTTGCATAAGAAAGCAGGCTCGGCAAGCCACCTTGAGCAAGCCAGTGAGCAGCTCCCTCCATGGCCTCTGCATCTGCTCCTGCCTCCAGCTCCCTGCCCTGCCTGAATCCCTGTCCTGACTTCATGTGATAGAAGTATGATGCGGGAGTGTAAGCTGAATAAACCCTTTCCTCCCCAGTTTGCTTTTGGTCATGGCTGAAGGAGGGTATTTACGACATTGCTCTGCCCCTCTCTAGAGGGACACCAAAAATAACATTAGCTAGATGGTTACTCCAAAAGCACAAGGAAGATCAGCTCAGAGGTTAAGGAAACCAAGACAGAGACAAGCGTATTTCTGTGGGGTCTGGGTCAGCCAGAGTAAGATGGCGAGTCTGTCTAGGAACAATGTCAAAGCACTGCCCATTAACGGTTTATTCATTCAAATATATTTATACAATTATATTTTATTGAAATAGTAAGAAAGAATTGCCTTACCAGTTGCCCTGTGGGGTTTTGAGCTGCTGTACTGTATAGCCAAACTGTTCACTTGAAGGACCGGAAAATATTTTTGCTCCTGGGAGGCCAACATTGTACGCCAGACAACTTAAAATACCTATTTAAAAATTGAAAACATAGTCCATATTGACAGTTTTTTAATGTAAGCATATAACGTAATTGTTAAAGAACATGTTAAAATAAAGCAACCTTTCTTTGACCTGATTGGTAATCAAAATTCTCGTTATCCGCGTTGATAAGAAATAATAGTTACTACCTCTAACATACTTAAGTGGGCCCTGGCATGGGTCTGGACATTCAAATGCATAATTCATTGCCTCAACTTATCCTCCTGGAGATAGTTGCCAGTGGTATCTTTGCTTCACAGGAATGTTTGAGGTTCCAGGTTCTCACATTGAGTGATAAGGGAAGGCCAGGATTTGAACAAGAGACTGTATCAAGACACTTGGCTCATAAACCGTTGTACTATCTCTGAGAATTACAAAGTGACTTAAAATCTATGCATGTTTCCTCACAGCGCAAGACTCTAAGCTACTCACACACGGTGTCTGAAGGATGCCCTGTTCTTGACATGGTCTCCACATGAAATGTGTGTTAAAAACGCAGTGCTGACCAGGGAGGGAGGAAAGGCACAGCCCTGGACGTCAGCATCATTTTCTTTGTTTCTTTTTTTGTTTTCCTAAAGATTTAGGAAATGGTGCATTATCTTTTTATTCCAGTGGGAACCGCCAAAAGCACTTTTGTCTTCTGACTTCTCTTCCATAAGGGTCAATAAATGACAATCACAGAAAACAGAAGAGACTGAAGGAGACTTTTTTAAACTTCTTGTTTCTGATGGAAAGGGAGAGAAGGGTAGGGTTAAAGCCCTCTGGGACCGAAAGCCTGTGTGCTGGGAGCCCTTCCCACTGTCCCAGCCAGGCTCTTTGCATTTGAAAAGATGGTAGTGTGAAGCAAGCTGTGTGGTTTAGCCTGTGTCTTAAAGACTGGACTATTCAGGACTATTTAAACTTACTGCCACTCTCTAGGAAGGTTTCACTTTGAGGGCAGCATTAAGGCCGCGTGGTCCTCGCGGTGTTTTGGCCATCTGTAGTTGCATGTTTGAGAGGCTGGGAAAGTGGCTTGCTTTACCACTGTGCTTCTGAATTTATGGGAGGAGATTCTACAGACTGCTCCAAAGGAAACATGAAGTCACGATGACACTTTGGGAGCTGAAGCAGTCCATGTGCGTTTCTAGGTGCCAGAAATACTGTACTGGGCGTTTGTTTGTTCTAAAACGCTCAGCTCATTATTCCTGAGAAACATAGACTTGCCAGAAAGAAAAGGGCACATATTCATTTTGGGATACACCGTGATAATCTGCATGGGCCAGCATTTGGAAATTTGACCTGTAACATGTGTCTCTTCATAGGACCGCTGTTCCTTTTTACTGAGGGAACAAAATGCAAAAGGAAACACCAGCCCAAAGAAATCTCAATACCGAGAATGGCATTCAGAAAGCTAGTGTTTCTAATCAGTACTCATCTTCACCCATCACGAGAACTTAGCAAATACTGTTTGAATATCTTTCAGGGTTTATGTATACTATGTCAGCCGGTTTGTCGTCACCAGAAAGAATGCATGTGCATTTAGAGGCTTTTGTTTTACATAATGGCAATTATATGTTCTAAGAAATGTGCTGTTAGGAGCTTCTGCTCTTATGCAATCATAAAATGCACATAAACACACAAGATCACTATTATACTCTTGAGAGACACAATCTTTTGAAGTTTTTATGAAAGGTTTTTTTTTTCATACAACGTATTTTGATTATATTCTTTCCTCTCCCTCAACTCCTCCCCGTCCCCCTACCCAACCAACTTCATGTCCTCTCTCCCTTCCTCTTGAGTTCATTCACTCTACGTCATCCATTTTCTGACTAAAATGCTGCTATACTGCATATTATATATTACTATATATATGCATGCAGACATACATAATGACTGACTTACAAATAAGGAAATTGGAGTTCTATACAATCTAATGGTATAGAAAACATCTTTTAAAATGGAGGAAGTCATTTCAAACACCCCAAGGTCTTCCCGTAGCTCTGAGAAAATCCAGTCTCCTCCCAGAGCTTCACAGGTCCTTCCTGCCGGATGCTCATGTAGCCTCTGGCCTCACCCCTCTGCTTTCCTCCTTGCTCACCGGGTCCCAGACACAGCCTTTTCCTTCTGTCCTTCAACACACCCAGAACATTCCAGTCATGGCCTTTGAGACCCGCCTTACTGTCTTAGCTTTCTCCAAATTCTAGCTGTAGGTTTTGGAGATCATTAGTCGTACCGGCCTGCGTTTGAATACTCTCTGTTCTAAGGAGTTCCTTAGCCCCTGGTTTTAGTGGCAGTGCCGCCGCCGCCTTCCAGCACTACGCCACTGGGGGACTGTTACCTCCAGTTTTCTCAGGCGTCCATGTTTCTTTTCTTTTCCCCCTCCATATTGTTATTTATTTTTTTCTTCTATACTTTTTAAAATTTAAATTTGAAGCAAGCTTGCTTTACATGTCAATCCCAGTTCCCTCACCCTCCCATCCTCCCCTCTTCCCCCCACCAACCCCCATCCCATCCCCTTTCTGCTCCCCAGGCATGTGTCTAGGCTGAGAGAGTGTCCCTCTGTGTGGGATAGACTCCATAGTCCATTCGTACACTAGGGATAAATACTGATCCACTACCAGAGGCCCCATAGACGGCCCAGTCCATATTTCTTGATGTTTGCATCTGTCAACAAAAATGTAAGCTTCTTGGGAGAGCAGACCTGGCTTTTGTTTACCCATGTGTTTTCATCTCTCTCCTGCGTCCATTCCCTACGTGGTGAGCAGCACTGGGGTTGGTTACGGCTGCTTTAGACTTGGCTTCACATGGGTCTTTGGGCTTTGCTCCCAGGCCCTCCCTCGTGTTGGCATAGAAGTGGTCCTAGCTGCTTAGCCATCTCTACGACCTCAGCACCCAAGATGGTGTCTACCAAACAGAACACAGCTTAAATTAGCACATGTTTCTCGATGGAGATTCTGAATATAAAAAAACTGCGGGAGAAATAAGACAACCCAGAGTTCCATTTCTCAAATACAAGTTCCAATTCTCAAATTATTTTTTAAAAATATTTCCTCCCAGCGTTCTCCCTCTATAGTTTAAGCCATAGTATGTATCTTTCATCCACTGCATCCAAAACCACGCTGAAACCTACAGTATCTTAGCGGTCATGTGCTCGTGACTGGAAGAATTATCATTACTTATTGGAATCCAGAATAACCTTGTGTGATTGCAAAGCCCGTTACCACCGACTGACCATTAAAGAAAGTGAAACTCATGAAGGATTAATACCCTCATTGCTTATGTCCCAGTTTTTCCTCAAGTCTTGGCATGGCTCATTTTTCTCCAACGTCACTGTTTAGAAGTTCTGTTCACGTTCTCATAAAACATGCCATTCATCATCGCTGTCCCTTTACTCTACTGATCCTAAAATTCTCCTTTCCTGTTATTTAAATCATTTCTTCAAGACTCTGCTTCTTTTAATAGATATAAGCATTACCAAACACACTTATTTCCCTCCTAAAATATATTTATGTCTCAGTATCTCCACAATCTATTCACATTGGACAGAAGTTTCTCAGTTTCTGTAAACCTAATACTTGTTAGATGAAGTATCCTGTCTAATTCTGTATCAGTTTCTCCTTTATAACCCCACCATTTGTAATGATACTTTCCTATTATCTCTTTAAGACCAAATAGGTATTAAGAACTATGGAAACATATTCATAGCTGTGTTTGGCAGTAGAGTCTAGTCACATGACCTATGGAGATTTAAGCCCATCTGTGTGCACCGAAAGGGGATTCCAGTGAAGGGTTCATTTGCAGGAAGACATGGGTAGATGCACAAGAACAATTCAGGCTAAGAGAAGAATCGAGACTGGATGCGAGAGACGGTCTTGGAATCAGCCAAATTGTTTTGACAGCTATTCCTCGGATCCCAACGAGCCCATTCCTACAGGGTTATGCTCTTGTTTCAGGAGCGAAGCTGTTCCCTTTAACACATGATGGCCAATATAAGGAGCACATGCCCAGCTCTCCCTGAGTCTACATCACAGGCTGCCAATGCTCTAAGAAAATGGGACATGCTTCTGCCACACCATGGATCCTGACCATCAGCAGCTGTAGAAGCCTTCTGTGCATCAAGATTTATACCCAGGGAAAGGTCAGCAATGACCAAGGCATGGGGACACTCTTAGGGCCAGCAAACCTGTCCAGGAGAACAATGTCCAAGGTTCCAGGGGATATTCTGTTCTCACAGAGTTCAAACTCAGTGCCTAGGGACCCACACTCCCGTGGGTTATATGGCTGAACCACAGACATACTGTGCTGGTGACCATTGTTTTGCAGTTTATATTATGTCTTAGGTGCTGTAAACAAGCATACTCTGTGAATCTTAAGCAATTTAATGCTTCCTAGCAATCCAAAGGATTTGATCTTTAATAATTATAGCCAGAGATCTGGAGAAATAGCTTAGACATTAAAATTGCTTGTTATTCTTATAGAAGTCCTGGATTAAATTTCTAATATTCACACAGGGTGGTTTACAACCACCTGTAACTCCAGTTCCAGAGGATCTGAATAGCGACTTTTGAACTCTGTAGGCATGTATGTATGTATGTATGTATGTATGTATGTATGCATGCATGCATGCCTGCTCAGGCATGCACACACACAAACAAACACTATTAAAAATTTAAAAACTAAAATTTCAAAAATGTTCAAAATAAAACTTTTGAGAATGCAAATTGTAGCACAGTAACTAGATGGAATTTGACAGTGCTATTTAAGAACAGTAATTGTGAAGACTATAAGATAGAATAGAAATGATCAATAAAAATATAGTAAAATGGCTTTCAGGATAGAAGGAAAATGTTCAAAAGCCTCAGAATATTAACATAGTAAGTAACAGAACTGTGAGTAAAGTTTTTTGGCTTCTAAGTTTCTTGAAATACATTATAATATTCTTGAAATAAGTAAAGATCAGGTTATAACAAGACAGTACTTTTCCTTCCAACTTGGTACTAGTAGAATGACA